CAAACATGTTTACTGAATTATATTTCATAACTTTAAATGCAAATATAAATTGTCAATTTTACAATAATATGGACAACTTTTGCAAACAACAAAGTTATTTGCAGCCATTTACCTTTTACCTCTGTTTTTATAACCATTTCAAACTATTTACAGAACAATCGGGTGTTCTGCATTCAATAAGATGCCACAAATTATTTGTGCCGTTGGGGAAAAAATAATTTCTGTCCATTATAAAGGAGAACATCACAGTCTGATACCTGCAGGTCTGACAGCAGCAGGTGTATCATTCCTGTTTCTACCTGGAGACAGCAGTCAGCTCATTGTTCTAACACACAACACAAAACTATCCACAACACTACACACTAACTACACAAGACAACACATTAAATACACACTCCAAACACACATCTCAAAACTCTCTCTCTCTCTCTTTTTCTGCTCTCTCTCTCACACTCTCTCTCGCCGTCACTCCTAAAACTTCCCCCTCTTCCTAAACAACCAAATGTCATGTTGCCATATACTTTTTTGATTGGTCAACATGGTGCATTTTTCCACCAACACGAAAGGCCTGATTTTTGTTTTGTGTTTTTATTTTTTGGTCATAAGCAGTGAGATCTTGCTAGCACGGTCCTTAGACATTAAACGTGATGAAACTATTCAGGAAAAAACGCTGCGTATATATTGTTTATCATGACTCTGGTTTTACGTGGCCAATCAACACAATTTAAAAACTGGTATATATCACCTTGTTGGTTTGTCATCTTAAAGTGGTCATGCGACTGGCTTACCACGACTACTTTATTCTTCTTCCGTCAAACAGCAGCACGAATGCGATTGTTTTCCCCGATTGTTTGTTGTGCCAAAAAGCTGATCGTCTGCCAGAAATCAGTGCTTTAAGCTAATACATAACATAATAAAAGTTTGTATTAAAGAGTGACTCCTCCAATAGGTCATATTGACTTTAATAAATCCCTGTAGCATTGTAAAGCGTGAAAAAAGTAATGCACACAGTTACATATGTGACAGAGTAACTTATGTGCTTTGGCCATGATCTGAATGTAAAATCATTT